GCCCCCACCCTGCCACGGCTGCTTGAAGCCGCTCCGCGCCCGGTTTCCCAGCCATGCTCGGACTCCCAGGAGTCTGAGGATGGCTGGGACAGGCAGGCGCGGGGCTGTTCCCAGCGGCGGGGACAGGTAAGGGGTCTGGATGGCTTCCAGGCAAAGCGATTCTTCCCCATTGCCAACATCACAATGCGATCGCAAAAGCGATGACATTTTTGCCACCGCTATGTGGATTCGTCGTTAAAGGGGGCACCAGTTAAGCGAGGTACCACTGTATTCTACTCATGGCTATGCACAGGGGCATATTCTGACACCTATTCATAATGATTATAATGCATGTCAGTGGTCTTTGTTTCACAACTTTGCCTTTAAGGGTGTAAAAAGAGAAGCTATGCACTGGGGCATATTCTGACACCTATTCATAATGATTATAATGGATGTAAGTGGTCTTTGTTTCACAACTGCCTTTTAGGGTGAAAAAAGAGAAGCTAATTGTTCGCTATCTGGCACATCAGGAATGATGAGTCTATAGTTTGTTCTCTTGATTGATAGAGACAGCGAATGCTTCTAAAGAAATGACCTCACAGAATTCAAATTATCTCTTATTAATTGTTCCCATTAGATTGTACTTGGTTAGAACACAACATTCTAGGGATATAAGGTTGAATCTTCGCTAAGACTGCATGCCTCAAAAATGTCATCATTATCAGAAACAATAGGACTATTGCAGAAAGATTCTGGTTTAACCTTTCAATATTTAGATAAGATTAGGGTGCTGAGGAGACTGAAATTGAACAATTTTATGAAGATTTAAAACACCTTCTAGAACTGACACCAAAGAAAGATGTTCTTCTCATTCTAAGGGACTGGAATGTGAAAGTAGGGAGCCAAGAGATAAAAGGAACAACAGGGAAGTTTGGCCTTGGAGGTCATAATGAAACAGGGCAAAGGCTAATAGAGTTTTGTCAAGAGAACAAGCTGGTCATCACAAACACTCTTTGCCAACAACACAAGAGGCGACTCTATACATTGAAATCACCAGATGGGCAATATTAAAATCAGATTGATTATATTCTCTGCAGCCAAAGATGGAGAAGCTCTATACAGTCAGCAAAAACAAGACCTGGAGCTGACTGCGGCTCTGATCATCAGCTTCTCATAGCAAAATTCAAGCTTAAACTGAAGAGAGTAGGAAAAACGAATGGCTACTCAGGTATAATCTAAACCAAATCCCTTATGAATAAACAGTGGAAGTAAAGAACAGATTTAAGGAACTCAATTTGGTGGACAGAGTGCCTGAAGAACTTTGGATAGAGGCTCGTAACAGTGTACAGAAGGCAGCAACAAAAATCATCCCAAAGAAAAGGAAATGCAAGAAAGCAAAGTGGCTGTCCAACGAGGCCTTAGAAATATCAGAGAGGAGAAGGGAAACAAAATGCTAGGGAGATAGGGAAAGTTACAGAAAATGGAATGCAGACTTCCAAAGAATAGCAAGGTGGGACAAGAGGGCCTTCTTAAATGAACAGTGCAAAGATATAGAGGGAAAAAATAGAAAGGGAAAAACCAGATATTTGTTCAAGAAAATTGGAGCTATTAAATGAACATTTTGTGCAAAGATGGACATGATAAAGGACAAAAATGGTAGGGACCTCACAGAAGCAGAAGACATCAAGAAGAGATGGCAAGAATACACAGAGGAATTATACCAAAATATCTGGATGTCCTGGACAACCCAGACAATGTAGTTGCTGACCTTGAGCCAGACATCCTGGAGAGTGAAGTCAAGTGGGCCTTAGAAAGCCTGGCTAAAAACAAGGCCAGTGGAGGTGATGGCATTCCAGTTGAACTATTTAAAATCTTAAAAGATCACGCTGTTAAGGTGCTACATTCAATATGCCAGCAAGTTTGGAAAACTCAACAGTGGTCAAAGGACTGGAAAAGATCAGTCTACATCCCAATCCCAAAGAAGGGCAGTGCCAAAGAATGCTCCAACTACCATACAATTGCATTCATTTCACACACTAGCAAGGTTATGCTCAAAATCCTACAAGGCAGGCTTCAGCAATATGTGGACTGAGAAATCCCAGAAGTACAAGCTGGATTCCGAAGGGGCAGAGGAACTAGAGACCAAATTGCAAACATGCGCTGGATTATAGAGAA